GGGGCTCGAACCGGCAATCTTCCGATTACAAGGCGAACTCCCAACTCTTGAGCCACGATCGCATCATTAAATAATTTAAAATTTGTCAATAATAAAGTAAATCTGTCATTAATTAATTAAAATTAATTAATTCACCATGGAATTAATTAATTAAACATTTAATTATATTTTTAATGATGTATTTACTTAATTTATTTTGGCACTGCTGGCCCTCCATACATGCTGATGCACCACACTTTCCTGTGTCAGAAAAAAAAACAACAACAGGTGCTTCTTTTTAGTGACTGATGAAAAACACATTTGCGTTATCTGCAAATTATTGCTGCTGACAAAAAATAAATATTTAAGTGATAAACATGAAAAACTTTTTGTCTGTTTGTTTACTTTGAATTGACTTTTATTAAAAGTCCTACTAACTACAACATAAAGCACAAATGAAGTTTGACACCCTGTGTTTGTGGTTTGGTCTGTTGTGGCTTCCTGTTTCATGACTATTAAAAGCTGACTGACTCTGAAAGACACAAAGAGACAGTGAATCCTGGTCAAATGTTTTCACCCATCGAGATGTTTGCACAAATTCAAGCTGCTGCAGATTTCAGAGTTAAATACAGCAGAAGGTTCCACAATGGTGTACAAGAGAGAAAACTCAGCCAGCTGGATATGTTAGATGATGGGGAACAGCATGATGTCAAATCACACGAAGCTGGTAAGTAGGAAGTGCTAAAAATGTCAAAAGAAGAGCAAACTAAGATTTTATTGTTGATACTTTAATGAGGTTTAATAGCTACTCGATCTTCAAAAGTTTGCAGAAAAGAAAGAAACTGCATGCCTATAAATTATTTTCAGAGAAGTACTTCAGTGGTGCAGACAGAAGTATAAATACCAGGAAGTCTTGTTATATATTGTGTACGTGTACCCAAAGGGGAAAAAAAAACAGAGGTTGTCTTCAAAGCTAGTTCATTTCAACTTTTATTTTGAACCAATCATGAAGATATTGTTTTTGTAATATTTAATTAATAACAGTTATATCATAAAAGGAGACATGGTGTAGTGTGTAGAGACGAGTGTCAGAGGTTATTTTTAGTGAGTAGTAATAGTGAATAGTGATAGTGAGACCTTGTATGATATATGGTTTGGGGATGGTGGCACTAACACAAAGATTGGAAACAAAGCTGGAGGAGACAGAGTTGAAGATGTGAAGATTTTAATTTGGACTGACCAGGACAGACGGGATGATGGGAAGCACCACAGAAATTAATAAACCGGTGGGACTGCTTTGTTCCCACAGAAGATTGGTCTGAAAGCTGCCGGCTCTGCCTCTCATTCTACTTTTAAATAAATGGAGTGATAAGGAACTATGAGGTCATTAAGATAAGATGACCTAAGATAAGATTCCTCACAGTGTTACTGGAAGCCAAGGTAATGCCATACAGAATACGCATCTGGTCCGACACCATATTTCAAAGATTTGTAGGGCAGAGTACATTAATCTCAGTTTATCTATTAGGTTCATAGTTACCTATGAACATCAATATGGAAGCATCGGGATCTACAGAGGGAATTTTATCTGCAATTTACTGCAAGTATTGGTGATGTTATGACTACAACTATAACTACATCAGAGAGTACTTATGTCTCAACTTGACCTCTTCCAGTTTGATTCTAGAGCAGAGTTGTCCACGGAGGTCAGCATAACCATTATTTCTGAACTCAGCGTTCAACACCATAATCCCAGGTATCATTATTACAAAACTGAACCACCTGTCACGACCGTGCGGTCAAACACAGGGAAGTGGACTCAAATGCAGACACCACACGGTGGCTCGGAGGTATAGTGAAAACAAAAGTGGCACACAGGGAAAAGAGGTGAATGTAAACAAAGCACTACACATGAACTAAGGGCGAGAGGGAAAACACTTGACCTCTGAATTAAATCAACCTACTAAACTAACATAAAGCTTCATATTAGTGCACTAAGAACCTGTAACTAAATGCACACTGTGACTGGCAAGAACTACAAGACAAAACTACTACTAGGAATGCTGTGAAAGTAAACAAAGTTATGAAGCACTAGACTTGGCTAGAACAATCTCCACAATAATAGTCAAGCATGAACACAAGAACCACACTGCGTGTGCGGCAGCAGAGTCCAAAGGGGAAAAGTCTCTTTAGTTGGCTGGTGAAAACAGCCTGGGCATGACACTAGGTATTGCCTGGAGCAGGCACACAAGGTAGAGGATTATAGGGTTACGCTCTCAGAGTCATTGTCTGGGTTGAAGGCGAGGCTTGGGGGGAATAGAGGTCCGGGTGAGGCTAAACCAGTTTGCATACACTCACTGTGAAGTGCTGGGCAGGGAGGCAGGCAGGCGAGTAGCGCCGAGTACAGAAAACACACCAGCGACGGGAAGTAGAGTGGTTAATGACAGCAAGATCCAAACCTCTGTAAAGTTGCAGTGGGCGAGAAGACAGGATTAGCTCAAGAAAACACTAAAACAGGATTTACTAGACTATGGCTCTCACCAACATGGGTTTGCTGTCATTTCGGCGAGGAATGTTTGAGAACGCTGGTCTTAAGAGCCTGCCAGCTGATTACATACAGGTGCCACAAACGAGGGGGGTGTAGTGACTCTGCCCAGCGATCGATTCATTGGCATGCAGGAAAACCCAGCACTCATTCGGACCATGACACCGCCTTCAGATCCCCCATGCCAGTTGCTCGGGATCAAAGATTTCCTCAATCCATTAGACTTCGTGTTTGGTATGCAGGCACTGCTGTTGCCTGCTGTAGATCCTAAATAATTTCCCCCAGGGATCAATAAAGTATTCTGATTCTGATTCTGATTCTGATCCTATTAGTGTGTGGATCAGTGAAGCGATTTCTCATTAAATCCTGCCATTAAATCCTGGCTAACAACTGCTTAGTTCCATAGCCAGCATTGTTTATGATCTTGCTGAGGGGGTTCAGGCCTATGCAGAACCGAAGTGGGGACAGGGCATCTCCTTGGTAGATCCCACACTTGATGGTGATTTGTGCTTTTGACTTGTTGGCTTCTAGTGTTGTTTGACACATCTCCATTGAGTTCCCGATGAAGGTTCTTGAGGTCCTGTTGATCCTGTGCAGTTTTAGGTATTCTAGGATCCAGTTGTGGGGCATTGAGTCATAAGGCTTCTTGTAGTCTTTCCAGGCAGTGCACAGGTTGGTCAGTCTGGTCTTGCTGTCTTGAATGACTGCTCCACCTATCAGTTGCTGGTGTTTTGCCCCTCTAGTGTTCCTGCCAGTTCCGTTCTGCATCCCACTAATTTTTTGACCTGTGTGTCTGTTCATCATAGCTACCATGATGCCTATCAAGAGCTTCCATGTGGTATTGAGGCAGGTTTTTAGTTGGTAGTTGGTTGGGACTGGTTCCTTCTGGGGGGTCATTTGGGATCACAATTGTCTTGCCAACAGTAACTAATTCTGGGTGTGTCTCATTCATTAGCAGCTGGTTCAGTTTGTTTGTTCAGTCAGATGCTCATCGAGTGCAGTTAGCTTTAGCCAGTCTGAGTGAATCGTGTCAGGGCTTGGTGCTGTCCAACTCTTCCTACTTGAGAATCTTTCTTGGATATTTGCCACTGTGATGGTTACTTGATTGTTTACAGGGAGGTTGCTATGGTCTGCTTTTACCACAACTAGCAACTGCGCATTGTTGTTCTTCGTCCTTCTCCACTCCTCCAAGACTCTTCCTGTATTGCTCTATCTTCAATCTCTGTTGGGTTGTTCTCATATTGTTCCCCTGCCACTGAAAGTACATCTTGGATCCGTGAGGAACATCTGATTTAGCAGCTATGAGTAGCTGCTTGGCAATTTTCAAGAACTTAGGCATGGCCAGCTTGTTGAACTTTTTAGGTATTGCCTTCTTCATCACACCTTGCTGGAGCTCTACTTGCTGGCTAAGATCATGGTAGCATGGAGGGTTAGCCAACTATCGGAGCTGAAGAAAGATGCAACAAAGAAGGTGCCTAAGAAGTATAACAAGCTGTCCATACCTGAGGCCTTGGAAGCAGCCAAGTAAAGACTCACAGCCTTGGCCAGCCGCTTGAAGAGGTACACCAGACAGATCGAAGGCAGGAGAATAAACCATCTGTTCTCCACGAAACCAACCATGGTGTACTCTCAGTGTCAGGGGAACAATATGAGAACAGCACCACTCTTATGTTTGGGGATGTCCAGCTAATTAGAGGAAGGAGGTGTTGACTGGATAAACCAGGAGTGCACACCTTGATAAGGAGACTCAACTGTGGCTGGGCGCGCCTCGCTCTTCCTTGCTTAGAATTGTTTGGCACATGTGTAGAGCTCCTCTGGTGTATTTCATTTGTTTGAAGCTTGTGGTGGGAGTAAAGAGGACTAGGTAAGTCTGGGGACCCCATACACTTACTCACATAGAATCTTTTCTGTTAGAAGCATTAGGTAAGTAGGTAAGGCATGTTGGCATTCATCAGACCAGGAAAATGGAACTAATGGACTGGTCAAGGCAGTCAACAGGGCAGCTACTGTTGAAATGTTCTTGAACCGACGATAATATCTGGCCATTCCAAGAAAACGATGTAGCTCCCTTCTTGTAGAAGGAACTGGAAAGGTTGAAATGGCACCGATCTTTGCATCCACTGGACATACCTTTCCTCTGCCAACTTGTTGGGCCAGAAAGACAATGGTGCTTTTACCAAACTAAAACTTTGCAAGATTCAAAGTCAGCGAGGCAGCTGAGAGGCACTCAAAACCTGCTTCCAAACCTGCAAACCTGCTACCAAAGTAGCAGATGCTCTGCCCATTCACTGGAATACACAACAATATCATCCAGATACAGCGTTTGGAACATCACCGAATAATTTGTTCACTAGCATCGGAAATGTAGCTGGTGCATTACATAACCCAAATGGCATTACTGTGTACTGGAGGAAACTGTCCGGAGTTTCCTGGGCAACAACCACCAAGGCTGGAGACAGAGCAATACTGGAAGAGCATATGGGAGAAGGACGCAACCCATAACAGCAATGCTCAGTGGCTAGTGGATCTGAGGGCAGACCACAGTGACCTCCCTGAACAAGGTCCAGTGACCATCACAGTGGCAGACATCCAAGAAAAAAGTTACCAGTATGAAGAGTTGGACAGCACCAGGCCCTGACATAGTATATGCCTACTGGCTGAAGAAGCTGACTGAACTGCACGAGTGCCTGGCAGCACAAATGAACCAGCTGCTAGTTGACGAGAGATAGATGGAATGGCTGTTTGAATACTGTGCAAAAGAAATGGCATACAGACATCGACAAAATTTTTGGTACCCTTCGGTCAATGAAAGAAAAACTCACAATGGTCACAGAAATAACTTTAATCTGACAAAAAGTAATAAAGGGTACCAACAATTTTGTCCATGTCTGTATATGTACAATATGGAGTGCATAGTTTTGAAGTTCTGGTAGGTGAGGGTGAGAGTTAGGTATCTATGAAGTGTCATTGTTAAACAGTCTGGTGGCCTGATGGAAAAAGCTGTACCTTAGTCTGCTGGTTTAGCACTGGATACTGCAGTACCCCCTGCCTGACGGAAGTAGTTTAAGCAGTTTATGGCTGGGGTGACTCGAGTCTTTGATGATCCTCTTTGCTTTCCTCAGGCAACCGCTTCCTGGAGATGTCCAGGAGGGAGGGAAGCTCACCTCCAATTATCCTTTCAGCACCTCCGGAAGTCCACTATCAACTCCTTTGTCTTTGTGATGTTGAGGGTGAGATGGTTGTCTCTGCACCAGTATGTCAGGGCGCTGATCTCCTCCCTATAAGTTTTTCATTACCTTGATAAGACCCATCCCTGTGCAGTCATAGGTGTAGAGTGAATACAGGAGAGGGCTCAGTACACACCCCTGTGGAGCACCAGTGTTCATTGTGATGGGGGATGAGGTGATGCTGCCCAGTCTGACCACTTGGTGTCTGTCAGGCAGGAAGTTAAGGATCCAGCTGCAGAGAGAGCTGCTCAGTCCTAGATCCTGCAGTTTTCTGTCCAGCTTCGAAGGAACGTTGGTATTGAATGCTGAGCTGTAATCTACATTCTCACATACGTCTCTCTCTTCCCCAGGTGTGACAGGGCAGTATGTAGTGTCCGGGCTATAGCGCCATCAGTGGACCTGTTGTGGCGGTATGCGAACTGTAGAGGGTCCAGTGAGTCGGGTAGTGCAGAGCAGATGAAGTCCCTGACCAACCTCTCGAAGCATTTGCTCACAATGGGGGTCAGGGCTAACAGTTGCCAGTTGTTTAATGAAGAGATGGTGTAGAATTTGGGTACATGGACGATGGGGGGGCCATTTCAAGGCAGGCTGGGACTACAGACAGAGAGAGGGAAAGGTTGAAGATGTGTGTAAACACTCCAGCCAGCTGAGCCGCGCATTACTTGAGGACATGGCCGGGAATCCTGTCAAGACCAGTAGCTTTAAGTGCATTAACCTGTCTGAAGCACCTCCACACATCCTTTTCAGACACAGTGTACGCGATGATGTCATCAATGACGTGCACACTGTGCGGTCTCGTGGTGTTTGCTGTGTCGAATCTAGCGTAGAATGCGTTTAGATCCTCATGCAGAGAGGCTGTGGTCTGTGGTGTGCTGGTTTTCCCTCTAAAGTCTGTGATTGTGTTTAGTCCCTGCCACATTCTCTGAGGGTTGCTAAACTGTTGTTCCACTCTGTCCCTGGACTCATGTTTGGTTGCTTTAATTGTTTTCCAGAGTTGGTAATTTGCGTGTTTGTAGTTCGATGTGTTTGCGGAGGCAAAAGCTGTGTTCCATGCCACAAGTGCCGTGCAAACGTCACTGTTAATCCATGGTTTTTGATTTGGGCAGAGTTTAACTGTTCTGGATGGCATGCATGACATCATCCATGCATTTCTTGATAAAGCTACAGACTGAGTCTGTGTAATCATCCTGGAAGGAGGTGTAACAGTGGTCGAGCGGCTCCTCTCCTCGAGTACTGAAGTGAATGTGAAGTACCCATGGACGGTATTGTTCCTTGTAGCTGTTCATCTTACAACCAAGCACCAGAGAGAGGGTCAAAGGTATGAAGGACTTGTTCAACAGAGCACCAATTCACTTGCAAACTCTCCATTGTGTAGTGGTTAGCAGATTCACCCACTTTGCTATATTAGCTTTCACAGCACTTTTCTCTCTATTTTTCTTCTTTAGATGAAAACACCCAAAAGAAGCTCCCAACGGTGAAAAGAAGCTGTCTGACGGCATTCAAAGTGAGCCTTGGAGTGCTGTATCTTCTCACTATGGCTGGAATCATGGCACGCTGTGAGAAATTTCATTCCAACATCATTTTCCTTTTTAGATACTTTTTAAAAGAAAACTTTTTATATTTATAATACTATATTTTTAGGTTCTTTTTTTGATTTTATATTTCAGTCAAGAGTAGCTACATACACATTATGGGTGCACCAAATCATTAAAATCCACATTGATAATAATCATACTTAATTTTAAAAAGGATGTAACACACACCCACTGGCCACTTGCAAGTACACCGAAGCACATCACATAAAAGCAACTCAATACATTTAGGCATGTAAACTCAATCAAGATGATCTGCTATTATTAAAAGCAAGCATGAGAATAGGGAAGAAATTTAGACGACTTAATGATTATGAACATGGCATACTTGTTGTGCCTGATGGGCCGGCCTGAGTATTTTAGAAACTGCTCATCTACCAAGACTTTTTCTACACTATCATCTCAAGGGGCCTCTAGTGATCCGCACTATGAGTCACTTCTGTCTCCTAAGAACAGCAAACCGAGGCTACACTTAAAATGAGGTCACCAAAATGAGGCAAAAGAAGACTGGAAAAACAATGCTTGGTGTTATGAGTTTCATTTCTTTGGTTGGTAGGATCAGAATTTGGTGTAAACAAACGAAAGCCTTGATCCATCCTGTCTTGGCTCAACCTTTCAGACTTTGTGGTGTCATGATGTTGAGGATATTATCTTGGTACACTTTTGACCCCTTAGTACCAACTGAGCATCATTCACTGTAAACACAACAGCCTACCAGTGTGTTGTTGCTGACCATGTCCATTTGTGACCACAGTGTACCCTCAGTGCTCAAATCATCTGGGCTGGTTTCTTAAACATGACAATTAGTTCATTACTTCTTGTTTTATTGCATTTCTAACCAGATGTTTTAGTCACTTTGGAAAAAGAGCAGCTGCAGAATCGAACCAACAAACTGATCAACATTTACAGCCAGCTCGAAGAAAAAGTGTTTGGTAAGAATAAATCAGTAAAATGAATTATATGCAAAAGTCAAAGTTGCTCAAGATAATTTCAGGCTTTAAAATTATAACTGTTTTTGTTATCAACACATTGCAGATGACAACAGTCAGCTACAGAGCAGTTACGATGCCCTGAATAAGAACTGCAGCCAGCTAAAGGCCAACCTGAAAGGTCAGAAGGGTTTTAGAATTTGGCAAATAATTAAGTTAATTGAGAATCCAACTTCGCAATTGTCTTAATGCTTTATAAATTGTTTTTGTCTTCAAGTCATGGAAGCCAACAACAATCAGCTACAGGAAGAAGTGAAGCAGCTGAAGGACGAGATTGAGACTCTGACACAGAAAAAACTCCAGTTAAACACAAGTAAAATGTGAAGTATAGTCAATTCTGTAATAGATGACATTAAATGGGTCATTAAAACATTTCTTTAACATGAAGGGAAGAGTCCTGAGGAATGGATAAGATTTGCAAGCAACTCTTACTTTAAATCCACTGAGAGGAAAACTTGGTCTGAGAGCAGTAGAGCCTGTCAGGGTAAAGGAGCTGATCTGGTGATGATAAACAGCGAAGAGGAACAGGTGGGTGTGTTTGTTCATGTCTGTGTGATCTTTGATGGAGCTGACAGTGATCTGTTAATTGTGTTTCTGACCTGCTGTCAGTCTGTGACCTGCTTCCTGTCTGCACTCTGATGGATTTGTGATTCTCATTTTTCAAGAGTAAAGAAAACTTTCTGAACAGTTGACTAATTCAGCAACCTGTGGGAAAATCAGTTCTTAAAAAATATATATAATTACTGGGGAAAATGTAAACTTCTGACAGCATTTGAATAAAAATAGTAGTTTTTCATGTGATCTACAGGAGCTGATATTCATTGATTCTTTGGGTTTTTCTGATTTCTGCACAATGGTAGAACTGAAACGTTTCATCACATTTAGTTCTTCCTTCAGACATATTCACAAGATGATATTACTACAGAAGCACTGAATTATGGAAATCCCTTTGTCTTTTCTCAACTAGCAATTTGTTAGTGAACTGAACATGGGCGGAGAGTCCTGGATTGGACTGCAAGTCATCAAAAAACGGATATCGAGATTTGTTTTCAAATGGGAATGGAAATGGATGAATGGATCACCGCTTCAAAAAACGTGAGAAATATTATTTTAAGCCATATATATAAAAAGTTACAAAGTAATGGATTAGAACTGTTTCTCAACAATCACTTCAGATGGAATCAAAAGAAAAGAAGAAATCTTTCTTTGCATTAACGCATATGTCAAGGTTGTGATTCTCTGACCCGGCATTTTGAGTTTGTTGGGTCTGCCCTCTGTGCCTTTTTGTTACATGTTCTTGATTCTGTTTACTCACATGCTGTGTGCGCGCTCCGTCACTATGTTCTCCTGAAGTTCTTGTTTTTGTCTAATGTGATAAATATAAGATTTATATGAAGTTGACAACAATCATGAGTTTTAATGTTAATATTTTAATTGTGTAACAGGTTCTGGGCACCTGGACAGGAGGATGCCAGTCCAGATTACAATACAGCATGTTGTGATATAAATGGGAAATGGATCAAACGTTATGGATCAAAGACCTTCATCTGTGAGAGATGAGTTTGGTGCTTTGATGTAAATGTTTGAATAATCCAACCAAAGACACCTCACTATGAAATGTCCTGCATGAGCCTCAGACTCAGCTTACAGTCTTTACTTGTTCATTCTGCATCATATATTGATTACATATATTGTCCCTCTGTGCTCTGTGCTGTACAGTAAGGTTGGAAGTCAT